TATATATATATTACAAAAGAACGATTTATTTAATCGTTATATCGCTATTTATGACTGTACGTTGATTTTATAATGGAATTTTTTTATGAAATATATTTTTTATAAATTTTTATAAATTTTTATAAATTTTCATTCTCAGTCATATGTCTACACAAAAAGATAAAAATAAAATATCAAACTTAAAACAAATCTGCAAATATTATCTTAAGATTGTATCTGTTTAAGATTGTAAACGATTTTTATTTTACATACATGCGCAATGTGTATACACGTGCGACATGTATGAAGAAAAGATAATATTGATGTGTCAAAAGATATTATGTAAATCACTTTTTCTGCAATTTATAGGGTCTCGTAATCGCCGGCCTCGGTGACTTGCAGAGGCCAGCGAACAAAATCTCCGTCGGCCAATCTTGTGCCTTGGGCATCACGGGGTTAATTTGGACCAGATACTCCTTAGTCATCACCCCGAGAAACTGGAATCTCTTTAGCGTAAACCTCTTTGTCGCGTTTACGGCTATATATCAAATAACGAGAGCCCTGAGGTAATTATTTTGATGCAAATTTCAGGTTACACCGTAAAATTGCATTAAATTCATCTAACAGATTCACGCTTCGATATTATATTTTCGTTTCTATATTTTACGAATATTTTTGTTACGCTATTGTTATTTTTTAAATTTTTCTTTAAATTTCTCAGAGAACCGAGTGTTCGGTTATTTTATAAAATAAAAATATTGTTTCTATTTCTTTTAAAGCTGTCGCAGAAATTGATTAAACGAATTTGACAACATTTTCCTGTTTTGCTTATGACTTCTCGCATAATTTATCACGTTTGACATTGCGACTTTGGCTTCAGCTATTTCTCTGAAGACTTTACCGAATTAATATTTGTCTCAGGTATCAGCGCCAGCAAGCAGCTTTGGAAGCAGCGAAGATAATTCCGTCAGATGCAGCTCACTGACGATAACTACAAGTATAGATGTACATTCCTAGGAATCGAAAAAAGGAATACTTAATTTTTCGCTACTTCGCGTTTCGTGAAACGTTTATGTTACCATTTAGCACATCGGGACGAGTAGTGATGTTTAGCGTATCTGACCAATACGTTCATCTTAATGACGAACAAAAAACTAGAAAGATAGATCGGTGATACATATAATATATACAACTCGAAATATTTAAAAATACGAAGTTGTACGTTTGATCGAGCTCGTAGCACAAATTCTTTAATGAAACAAATTGATATCGTCTTGAATAACTCCAAGGATGCGATCAGTCTCATTACAAATGCTTTGAAATTAATTTAATTGATTAATCAGAAGAAAGAATTTTACTAATTAAAGAATTTAGACTAATTAAAGAATATTTCAAAGCATTTTTTCGCGTTGATCGTATCTCAAATTAATTAATGTCTCATGACTTTTCAAAAAAAATGTCCTTGCGATATCTATTAAACGTTCGGTCGAAAAGAACATAGCGAATTTTACGTAAGGTCGATTGACTTTTTTGGTGCCAAACTGTGATATATATGATGCACGATGTGACATTCATTTTAGATGCTGTACGATAAATATTGTACACTAGATAGATAAAAAGTACAACTACACAGGGCACAGAAGGAATCGAGAATGATCAGGTGTGTAACGGATGGATTTGACGCATCGTATGGAACATATGGCGCGCTATCAATCTATCGATAATACCTGATTGCACCTACGTGTTTGATCGTAGTGCACCACGTGCGTTCTACCTCGAAACGTAACGATGCTCACGATGCGCTTCTGCATGACATATCGACGTTACGTAATATAAAGTGTTATAAATAGTAATAAATCTTCTTACGGACTCTCTCAAATTCAACAACAAAAAATCCAAAAAAATCAGGACGAATGAGAATCAGTGTAGTAGTTAATACGCAATTTTAAATCTTTATTCCAGAAAATAAAATCTTTATTCCAAAAAAATAAATATATCTTATTTTTTGGAATAAAGATTTAAGATTGCGTATTAACTACTACGACTTTTATTCGCCCTGATTTTTTTTGAATTTTTTGTTGATAAAGTGTTATATGTGTCAATATCGTAACATTTTAATGAATATTATTGTAACTGCCTTGCCCTAATCAAAGTTAAAATAAAATTATAAATATTTTTAATGTCACTGCGTTGTGAAATAATAAACAATTAACCATACTCGAGGATGACGTAATTCCCGGAAGATAAAAATATTTGACATTGGTCATGACTGTACAAGTGTTGGATAATTCTCACGTTATCGGGCAATAAAATAGTGTAAAATTACACTTGGCCTTTGAAACGTAGAACTCACAAATGTCGCGCTTTAATAACAAATACTGCGTGTCCTTATTGAACGTAAAATACACAGATGTTTCGAATCAAAAGGAAGATAGAGCTCTCGTCACGCTTTAGTGATGATGCCGATTGTTCGGCAGGTTTGTCACGAGGATTAAGAAGGCTTATTACGGAATTCAGATTCTACCAGTGTCATGTAGTTATCAAGCTTACAAATTTACGCGTATTCGATTTATCGATTGTAATTAAATTTTATTTATCTATTAAATTTTATTAATTTATTTTGCTACTTAAATCCGTGCTGTCTTGTTGGGTACATTTCTTTTTATTTGAAAGATATTCATAAGAAGAGAGATATTGTGAAATAAATCAAAAATTATTTATTAATATCACTTATAGTTTCCCCAAAGGGGATTTAATTTTCAACTTTAACTTTCTATTATAAACTCAATTAAAATTTTTTTATATTATCGATTTTAGAGCCAAGATTATGCTTCGGAAACGTAACTTTTATAACAAATAATAAAGAATTTTTATCACAAATTAAAATGTTGCATTATAAATCAAAGGCAACAATTTATTTTCTTAGATAACCTTTCTTTTAGAAGACACAGTCAACATAAGTTTGTTTTTCCTTTATTGAATGTCAAGGATAAAACGACATTTATGCCTCTTGAAAGAAAAGCAGTATTATATGCATGTATTATATGCATCTTTTAAAAGACGAGCTACTTCGAATATCAGTAAAATAAAATATGACACGTCCATCAATATATTATAGACAATATAGACGCTACGTATTGCCGACATTATTATATGCAAGAGAAGCTTATCCTCTCTAAATTTTAATAAAAAGAAACAAATTATGAGAACTTTACGATAAAAAATTTAATGCTTATTGCTTTATTTGTGTCTCACACGTTATTCATATGAAAGTTCGCTGAAGATTTTCAAAATCTGATTATAATTTTAATAAGTTTTTATGCGAAGATGAATTTTTACTCTCTCTCCCTCCGATTAAAATCTTATGCTCATGATTATTCATAAAAAAATAATTGAAAAAGAAATAACACGATATTATGTATATAAAAGACGTGATAAATTTCCGCCTGATACCCGTTATCAATCTTCGCAATTATATCGGCAGACTTTAGATCTATCAAATTCTCTCAGCGTCGCGTCATACGGTGCGTAGTAATTTATTCTATTGGATGGTCCTCCTTATTTTCCTTATAAAATTTTTGTTCCTAAGATTTTCTGTTACTGAATTGTTAACTTTGTTAAAAATTATCGTATTGCAATTTAAAAACTCAATTTTTAAAGTTAAAACTTTGCTCTATTGAGTGGTATAATAACAACAACAAATATATTCTATGTATAATTTTGAGCTAAAAAAAATGACACGAACTTTCTAACCAATCTTATATATCAATTTTGTCACATCACCTATCATTCGAATCAATAAATATGACTTTCACCGCAGATTGAAATTATCTGGATAATTAGTACTTATTATCTAAAAAAATCATGCGCATTATTTCATCATCGACCATTGTTGCTCGATTTCTGCACGGCGGTCACACTGTATAATTTATTTTATTTATTTTATTTATTTAGGGAATCGTTCCCGGAAAAAAATGTTTCATACATAATTATATGAAATATATAATTACGTAAAAAACTGACATATTTTACATACAATTAATATATATATATATATATATAAAATATATCCATATATTCATATACTGTAATTTTTTCTCGAGTTTTGTGTGTTTTGTGATTTTCATCTTAAAATAAGATGAAAATTACAAAAACGAGCAAATTCATTTAGAATATAATTTCGTTAGTCAATGCCTAGTGAATTTGTTCACTTTTGAAATTTTCATCCGGTTTCGAAATACATAAGCAACCCGGAGAATCAGGTGGCGCGCGTCGCGACGTACGGAATCGTCAATCGATGATCGTTGATAATTCGCGGGTCTGCCGCGCAAGGCCGTTGGCGGCGTTGGCGTCGCGACGGATGCGCAACGCGAGCTGCGCGCGTGCACGTGCTGCTTACGCAGTTCGTGGCTGCGTTGTCGCGAGAACGGACGAGGTGTATCATTGTACTCGTCGTTACTCCGGTCTCTCGCGAGGATTTCGGTGACAGTTACACTTTATTCCGGCGAGTACGTGAGCGAGTAACGTCGTCGTTCGATCAGAAGGAGGAAGTGAGAAAGAGAGACAGAGAGGAGCAGATTTCTATCTCGTTGACGTACGTTGCAAGATGTTTTCTGGCCTGACGAATCAGGTGTCTACCTGGATGGGCAAGAAGCCCGAGAACGGCAGCGGAGAGCCGACACCCGATATGCCGAAACCTACTTCGCCGGAGGTTGAGACCAGCGCGGATCTCGAGAAAAAGAACAATACCAGGTATGTGTGCCGTTCGTGTTCTGCCATAACCTGCAACATCGTTGAAACGGGGCGACGTTGAGCAGGATGGGGGAGGAAGTTCGTCTGCTAGCCCGCCACGGATGTTATCACGAATTCCGTTCATCATCGAATTACGCTTTATTATACCGTCGTTATTATTTACAACGTATTTATATACGAACGTTATGCGTACGCGGCTCGCGAACTGCGTCGCGAATTTGTCAACCGTGAAATTATGCGCGAATCGATCCTCTCGCGACTCCACTTTGCGTGGACTCGAAATCTTTCCCTCCCTTATATCTCTCTGTCAACGACGAAAAATTTGAAATCTACACGATTCCGATAAGTTCAACATCCGGATGTTGCGCGATGAGGAAGAGTTGATCCCGAAAGTCGAATGAATTATCGCGAATAAAATGAGAAGTGTCATTATCGCAAGCACGTCTCATACGTGGAATTAACGAGCTAAGTAAGCGACGATTATGGGGATCTGTAGGTTCATTCTGAGATCCCAAATAGCATATATATTAAAAATGGAAAAATGGGGGGACATAAGTCGTCTTAAGATTCTTAAAGACATCTTTATGGTATGTCAGAAGGACACTTAATTACGTCTTATGTTCGCATTTGGGACACATCGTTCTTTGGATAATTTTTCCTTCAATTTTTTTTTGAGAGAACGCGTCGTGTTCAAAACTGGCGGCATAAATTCCTTCCCTCGGGTGTGAATGTATGATTAGATCAATAACGCCCAACTTACGTAAACTAGCACGATGGAGTGATATCGCGCGAATCGCGACATTCGCGACGCCGAATTTGTACAATCGTTGAGATCTCACCCGACGCACTTCCGTTTCCTCTTTCTGATTGCATTTTCAGCATTTTCCTAAAATGTTTTTCTCACTCCTCTTTTTCGAACCATTTAATTTAAATATTTATTTTATTTTATTTTAAGTATGGATAATGTGCGAAAGCTCGAAAAAACGGATTTAATGCCTGAACGATTCGTTCACGTTTCATTCTTTTTATTCCCATTGATTAAATCCTATTTTTGTGAAATTTACCACCGTGCTGAAATCGAAATTGGATTTTCGAAATCACTTAGCATTACGTATGTCATGAATATAAAGATATAATATAATAATAATGAAAAAAAAAATTAAAACTTATGAAAATATTTTTATTACAATTAATTATAATGTATTTTAATCTTATTATACATATTTATTAAGATAAAAATATAAAGTATATTTTATTATGTTTTATAGAACTTTGATTTTTATAATATTTTTTCAATACTTAGTTAATTTAAAGGGATATTATGATTTTGTAAATTGTTTCTTTTAACATAAATCGTTCTCTTGTTATTTTGGATATTTATTCTTAAAGTATTTTCTTAGATAAAATAAATAAATTACTGTATCTATACAATTACAGGAAGATTTCTCGGCGGACAATCGATTGTCTTCTCGCGAATACTTTGTTGTCGAAAAACTGCCGTTGACAAATAGAATGTGGATTGGAGAATCAACATTTCAGGAAATTTGAAACTTTTCGCAGCGATGTTCATGGACGTTTTTCACTCAATGACACAAATCGAAATAAACATCGTTCTATCTTTTTTAACACTTAATAAACAGAAGCAGAACGATATTTGTATTGATTATGATATCAACATTATCAACGCAAAGTGAGGAGAGCATATCTTTGACTTTGATGATCAAATGAATTATCTCGCGTTGGATAGGTCATTTAGATGTTCATCTATCAATTCGATTAAAATCATGACAAATGCAATTTTATCCACAATCTGCACCGTGATGCAGTTGCCGATAATAATAACACGTTATCTGCTCCTGACGTGTTGCAACAACAGACATCTCTATGAGTGCGTGTGTAGTAATTATAATTATAATTCGTAACATTGATAAAATGTTCGACGACGGGCTATATTTAATTTTATACGATTAATACATGCGTGTGTATATGTGTGCGTAGTTTATTAAGCAACTTTATGTAAAAATTCATTTAAAAATTTTAATTTGTTATCGCGTATTGTTATGGATATGTTTAATTTCAAAACATGATAAATTGCAACTTACACGTTTTTACTAGCCCCTTTTAAAATTGCTAAATTTTTTATTTAAATCTATTTTAAATTCTACGCGAAAATATCTGTTTTAAGCAAAAATTTATGCTCAGAGACATGATTCATAATACACATTTATTCACATTTATTCTTTAAATTTTTTGAAATGAAATCTCTATGTAAAGAGTGAAAATTCAGCCAAAAAGCAATTTTCAATCTTTAAGAATGAGATTTCACTCTAAATATTTTAAAGATTATATTTATATTATTATTTATACTATCGTCTCCTTATGCAAGCCACATTTTATTTACTGGTGTTTTATTTATAATCTAGAAATAGTACAATGCACATATATTTTTGAATTTTTATTAGAAAATTGATTGCATTTATTTTAATCTTTTATTGGTTATCTTTCAATACACGACGCACACATATGCGCACGCGTTATTTTCGTCACAAAATGAAAATATGTAATTTCGATAAAACTCTAAAAAAAAATTCTCTTGCATCCATTTGCGATTGGATTGTTGCGTAATGCGCTTTTTAATTAATCCAAGGATTGTGCAATATGAGATCGCATACATCTTCATAAAACGTCTTAATAAAATATTTTTATAAACCGTTTCTACGATTATCGCATGGACTATGCTCCCGGATTGTGTATTTCCTGCAAAATCATGCGTGGCTCAATGACAATATGTCAAATGTGCACATAACGCACTCTGTCCACTCTCATACGAAATCAATCCTCCGTGATGCTCCACGTTCGATCGACCGATGTACAGTTGTACGAAATTCGCGAAATGGAAATCGTACAGTACGCGAGCACTTCATTCGCAATAACGCCACCAGTTCACACACGACAAATTCACATCCCTTTCCAATACAAATTTGATTGGAATTAAATATTTATTGCAACATATTTATATGTGTATTTATTTATAGCAAAGATTTATGCTATGCATATTTTTCATGTATTTTACGAATGTTATCGAGATATTTTTTAATTGGAAATGACATTCTCTATGCAGTTCGATTCCTTTGGTCATTTATATAATGT